TGACTATAACTACCATTTATTTTATCTATAATATTGCACAAACATTATAATATTTTTCGTTATAATTTTGTTTGATACAAACTTAATTAAAAACACAACAAAATTATAGTATAATAACGTCCTGCTCTAGATTTCATGGTTTAGAAAAAATTACAAAGATTTTGTAATTGTGTGCTTGAACACCAGAGAATTTAATGTATCTGAACGTGGTTGTTCTATTATTTATTATGGTGTGTCATATTATTGGTGTAAAGTACAAAGCACTTCTATCCGCAGAAAAAAAACTTAAATCTTTAAAATCTTATTAAATGTTCATCATCATCATTTTGTCATCACAGTCCAGGATGGACCATTGCCTCCTCTACAATACGTCTCCATTCTTCTCTGCATTTCGCTTTCTTTCTGTGTCGAGTTATTCTCATCGTTCGTATGTCCTTTTCTAAATCTTGTAATCATCTTCGTCGCAGTCGTCCTCTTTTTCTACTTCCCTCTGGTTTTGTCTCGAAAATTTTCTGAGTCATTCTTTCAAGACATTTAATTCGTCGTTATACCGTATACGATATGTGTCGTCTTCTAAGCACACCGAGTCAAATATTTTCCTAAGTATTTTTTTTTCGAATCTCAGTAGCAGGTTGTAATCGCTGGATTTAAGGACCCATGTTTCGTAGCCATAGGTAAGAACCGGTCTAATAACAGTTTTATATATGCGCAACTTTTGTTCCTTTGATAGTAACGTTAATTTCATAAGCTTGATATGGGCAAAATATGATATGTTAGCTGTTTGAATACGATTTTTTATTGCAAGATTCGCATCTTTACTTGTGCTGAGAATTACGCCCAGATATTTAAACCCGTTTACAGACTCGAAATTGTAACTGCCTACTCTGATGTGGCTATCTTGGAGAAATTTTGTCATGTATTTAGTTTTTTCTTCGTTTATTTTGAGTCCTGTTTGCTTTTTAACTTGCTCTAGTTGTATGAAAACACTTTGGAGATATTTCTTGTATCTTGCAATAATGACGATATCGTCAGCAAAGGCGCATATTTGTGTAGATTTATAAAATATTGTACCACCTTGATGAATTTCGTCATTGTAGCTGCATGTAGAGTCAGATTGAACAGGAGCGTCGATAGAGAATCACCTTGACGTACGCCAGATTTGGTTTCAAATTTGTCTGAAAGTTCACCATTCAGGACTATTTTAGTGTTTGCATGCATTAAAGTCATATTAATTAATTTAATGTATTTTTGCGGTGTACCAAATTTTTTTTTAGATAGTAATCAATATATTTTCTGTTAAGCTTATCGAAGGCTTGTTTAAAGTCTATAAATAAACAATGCATGTTAATGTTGAACTTATAACATTTGTCGAAAATCTGTGACATTTTTTATTTTATAAATCTCCATCAGAAAAACACAAAAAGGGGAATTTCTGCTTGAATGCAAAAGATCAGCAGAAACAATAACAAGTGTCCACCAAGACCACATCAAAACTATACTACCCGAGGAAATAGAGGTCAAAACGCTTACGGAGGAAGCTACATTTGAACTACGATATCTGGACGAAATAACCACAGAAGAGGAAATAATTGCTGCATGGAAAAACCAAATAGGCGAAATACACCCCTCGGCGATCAAAACAATAAGAAACGCCCCTGGAGGTACCAGAACGGCTATAATTGTAAATCTTTGAAAATCTTTGAAATTTTTTATGATAAAAAATAAAGATAGAATTAAATATTACTTTACAGTTTATATTTCATATATAATAAAATGTAATAAGAGCATTTTGAATATTAATTATTTAAGTGATTATTGGTTGATTGAGAATAAAAAGTGGGTTCTTTTTTATCAATCGCATCGTTCGAACTTTGCAGCAAATAATCATAACAATATGACTGTTAACCCTCAATCAAACAATCAGCGAGTTAACATCACCTTCTTCCCATAACTATTTTCAGATTAATTTCCAATATAACTCATCAATCAATAAGATGTGTGACTAACTAAGAAAAACAAATTTTTTCTGTCAAAAATCGATTTTACTAATCAATACATATAATCTCCTTCAACGGCAATACAATCATTTCAATACTTCTCTTACTTCTCGATGCCGTGCTTGTAGAAGGATTTGTCTTTTATCTCAAAATAGGCTTCAATTTCAGCAATTACTTCATCATTTAAGATAAATTTCTTACCGGCGAGCATTTTTTTGAAATAAGCAAATAGCCAGTAGTCGCTGGGGGCCAGGTCTGGACTATACGGTGGATGAGGAAGCAATTCGAAGTGTTATTTGTGCACTTTTGCCATCGTTTTTATTGACTTGTGACATGACTTTATTGACTTTTATTACAATTTCTGCTTTCAAACGATTCAATAATGCCGTGTAGTAGTTACTATTGATGGTTTTTCCCTTTTCGAAATAGTCAATGAAGATTATACCATGTGTATCCCAAAATACTGAAGCCATAACCTTCCCAGCTGACTGTTGTGCCTTTGGATGATCGTTTTGATTCCGGATTGAAGTGATGAATCCATGTTTTATCCATTGCTCCTACAAAAGAATAGTATTGAAATTTGAAAATTTGAAAAAATAAAAATATAATTAATTAGTTCAATTATTCTTCAGCTGGTTTATGATTTCGTTCTAATATAATACAGAAGTAAATTTGTTAATAAGCTTTCACAGCAAATTAATAATATTCAAAGTTCAAACATACAAGTCAAGTACGACTTTGGATAAGTTGGCTAATGAACGCTGACTCTGAGCTTCAAATTTGGCAGGGAACGAGTTCAACCTTTAATACTTGCAGTAATACTTGTAAAATTTTAGACTGATTTAGATATGGTTTTCAACTTTTCTGAAATTTTACTTTAATACCAGTGAACCAATGTCAGACATATATCAGGGGAGTATGCGACTTATTCACTCCTACTTATTAATGTAAGTAGATCTGACTTTCACCTTTTCTGAAATTTTACTTTAACCAGTGAACCAATGTCAGACATATATCAGGTGGGTATGCGACTTAATCAGTCCTACTTATTAAGCTCTTTGCGAAGAAGTATAGCCAAAAGCGGTGCAGTGAAAAGGAGCGGGCGTAAGTGCGGGAATTGGGCTAGTGATACACTTTGTGATTAAGCTCACGAGAGCCGCACTTGTAGTTGGTCCGATCACGAAGAAGCTTACGCTCGAAGTGATGAAGCAAGAAGACCATCGAATTATCTGAATGATTGTGATCCCTTTATGACTTTGAAAAAAAAAAAACCAAATAAACCACAAAGCAAAACTGTAAAGGTAGTATATTATAATATTATCTCTAATTTTCTGCTTACATTTAACATTAATATATTTTAATCAACAAACTCAAAACATATTCGTATTTATAACATATAAATATATACATTTGTATATCCGTTCCTATTACATTTCCAGTGAATATGAAAAATACTTTTTTTTGGTTACTTTAACAGCTGATTAAAACCGTTGGAAAACTTCATCACGTAGCTGATCCAACAACGTACTATATATTTCGCACAAGCTACTATTTCGCAATGGGTCACGTTAGCAAAGTTGGATGAAGTAAAATTGACCAAAAATAAACTACTCACCAGCACGTTTCCAAGGTTTATTATGCAGTTTAAAAAACTTTATTTTGAACAATAGTTTTCACGTTTAAGTGAAAATAGCATTTTAACACGTTTTTGGTGATGTTTACTAAAAGAATTATTTAGCAAAAAAATAACCAAAATATTTCCACTTAAACAAGAACACTAAAGCATCAATAGCAAATCTAATTAAATTTTTACTAATAAAAAAAATTTATAAAAATATCTACAAAAACTTAAGTTGGTAAAGCGTTATCGTTTCTATTATCATTATTCTATATATATTTTCTTTATATTTTACTTAAACAAAAATTGTAACATTAACCGATTTTGAAAGCGCACCCCACAAATATAATCAACACTGCAGTAAGAAGCAAAAATTTTAATTTTGCTTTGGGCAAAGTTTTTATACTCAATATTCTTAAATTCTATCTTTCGTTCATGTTGCCAATATCTTACATTGTCTGGGGTTCTGTTCAACTATTTTACTTTAAACATTGAATTTATATATTTTTTCTGTTCATTTTTAATGGTATTTAACCATCTGTCTGTCAGAGTGTTTGTTAAATTAAATTTTTATGCTCTGATCCTTTGGTTTTATAATTGACACGACAATTTAAGATTCCCAGAATGAAATTTTTTTGTCGCAAAGTTAAGATAAAAGCATCTATTCGTTGAGCATCATTTATGTAAGGTCTCCACAGCAGCAATTAAGAGTAATCCCAATAGTGGACCAATTAAACATTAACAATAAACACATCTAAATTGCTGTTTTATGAATAATAAAATTGAATTTATTTACTTAAGAGATGTTAAAAGTCAAACGAAAAATAGCCGTGAGAGGAAGAGATTATAAATAAAAAAAATTATTTGCTTATAAAAATAATATAATATAAACAAAAAATCGTATTGCAAAAATAAAACATATAATATAAATAATTTATTATAAATAATATTTATTGCATTAATTAAGTCTATTTTTACAACATTTTCATATTTTTCTTTACAGATTTATTCACACAATTATTCCGACTAAAATATTGATATATAAGATATACAAATGATAAATGAATGAAATCTTATCAATAATACAAGCATATTTTATTTTAATCAACATAAAAAAGTTAATAATTACAAAAAAAATTAAAATATTTCTAAAACGACAAAACTTTTTACAATCATAATAAAAAGCAATAATAACTTGAAAGAACAAATAAATAGAATTAATTTTAACTACTAAACTACAAATGTAACTCTTTTTTTATAAATAAAAAAATAATATTTAATAAAAACTAAACTAAAAAAAATTAATAATAATAATATAAAAGTTTCGCATAAAAAAACACATAAATATAGAAGTAGAATATTTAAAGCAATACTGGCGCTTTTTTATAGTATGATGTGGAGCACAATATCGCCAACAAACTCAAAGAAACTTTTAATTGGCAGTACTCGAAGCGTTGACTATGTCGGTGACAACTCCACAAAATCAACAAAAATTTCAATCGCAATGGAAATTCATATACAAAATAAGTGCATTTCAGCATAGCGCATCACTCTGGAGGGTGGTGCAGAGCCCCCATGGCTGCAGGGCCCCCTTAAAGCGGCTTTTTTGGGGGCTTCTGGCGTCGGCAAAACAAGCATTTTACAGGTGAGTAAATTTTAGTTTACCCATAAAACCAAAGAAGACATTAACTATTTAGCTAAAGTTATATAAATACAATTCAAGTGTTTAAAAATAAGGTTTAATATAAAGTGTTTGAAGTTATTGACAATTACTTACTGTTCACTACTAAATTACTAATACGCCATGTAGTACATATTTTATAAATAGTTTATTAAAAACTTATTTGAGATTTTTTAAAAAATTTAACATAGTTCTTAAAAAAGAAACACAAAAATTTTTTAGTGTCTTAATCGTATTGTTGTTCAATATTTAATGATTTATTTTAAATAACAAAACAATCATTTTAACAATAAAAGTCTAATTATTAAAATATAAAATCTGTTAACTCTTGTTATGAAATTTCGAAGAATTACACTGAGTCCAAAAACAAGCTATACAACTTTTTACAATATATATATAAAAATATAAATATTTCGGTTATATCAAAAATCTACAAGATTCATTTAATAAAGGTTATAATCCAAATTTTGTCTGGTTTTAAAAAAGAAACTATTTCGCTTAAGGATTTATATATCATTAAATCGATTTGTATCATATTGTATACGGACGTTTAAGCATACAGAAATGAAGTAGTTTTGAATTTGTCATATTTTAAAATAACAAAAGTTTCCAATAAATAAATTATATATTTATTTACAATATTCTCTTAGTAATTTAACTTTTGTTGAAAATATATAGTAAAAAAAAACTTATTATTATAATTATGCAACTTTTTCTTTGCAGCTGTTTTTATTTTTTTTTTAATATTTCTATATATAATCTTAGCATTTAAAACTTGTTTTTTTAAAACAATAGTGTAAACTTAATCACTTCTTTCTAAAAGAATTTTTATTTTTAAAATTTCTTAATCAAATGAGAGTTGTTTCAACTCACTCCAGAATATAAAGTCTTTTATCTTTTCCTACCATACAAAACACATTATTTGACTTCTCTCAAATGTTTCAACACAAAACTTTTTCTATTGACTTACTTTTAAGTGCTTTCATATTTACCCTTGAAAACTATTTCATTTCTATCATAGAAAAATGTATTTTAAAAAACATTTTATCGCTGTAGAAAGTTTCCTCTAGATCTACATAAAAAATATACTCTTACGGGAACATAAAACAAATTGTTCCTGAGAGTACAAATCCTGAGAGTTTACTTAATAGAAATATTTAACGTATAAATTAAGTAATACATTTGTAACATTTCAATACAAAAATACATTTTCTTCATATTAATTCAATCCTTTAATAAACTACACACAATACTGCCAAGCAGATATAAAATATATATTCATAACATTATTGTTCATAACAAATATTAAAATTGCTTTATATTACTTCCTTATTTCATTCATTTCATGCGGCATTCAGTCGTATAAAAACAATGGAACACAGTTAAGAACAATCCAACTCAGCCGTTTAACTTGCACTTTGCTGCTCTTACAGTTATTAATACGACGAGTAATGCTGAAACACCAAGAAGTAGAGTAGGTGTCTTAATTTTCCACCAGAGCTGCTCAGGATTTTCAACTTTAACTATCATGGATTCATCTTCATAAAGTACCAAATACTTGAGTAAAAGTAAATTCTTGTCATAAATTCGTATATTACAGTCCCCGTTTTTTGCAATAAATTTTTCTACTTTCCCATTCAATTGTACTGGTACATTGCAAGCTGCCACGCAGCAAAATTCTGTAAAGAATTCTGAATTTTCCCATACTCGTTCGTTCAAACTAAAGACAGAATTTAAGTCAGTTTTCAATAACAAGTATTCTGCATCCATTTTTTTGAATTCATAAACAAGTATTTTGAAAATATCTTTAACGCTTGTGCAATAATATCCAGTATCAGCTGTAATGTTATGCTTAATCACGAATTCATTAAACGAATCCTCTTGACTAGTAAAAACTCTAAATACATGAGTTGGTCTTCTATCAAATCTGTTCACCTCCGTCGATGGTAAGTTTGACATAAAGTCTTCAACTGTTATTTCATGTATATTTTGCGTGTAAAGCATAACCCAGAAAACCAGATCTATAATTTCTGAATTTAGTTGATTATATTGTTTCTTCTTTAATAATTGGTGCAATTCTGAAAATTTTGGTACTGTCTTTATAAGATGTTTTAAGTTTTCTATATCCAATTGTCCATTTTGCATGGTAAGCCCTGGTGGAATAGGCTTCAAAGCGTGGTTGATGTCCTCGCTACGTGCTGCAGCAACGAATGCTGTGAATTTGAAATCTTGCGCTTTCAAATCTTGCTGGAGCAATACCTCAAGAATACGCATTTTTTCACTGATTGTTGGATTCTTCGGATCCAATACTCGAAATTTTTTAACAGGTTCCATTGTAATTATAATTCCTCTTATAAATTATTATAAAAATATACGAAGTTTTTAGAGCGATTTTAATTTTTTCCTAAATTTTGAAACGGACAGTTAAAAATATTTTTTAATGTTGATTGCTGTAAATCATAATTTCAAAGTATATTTTATAAATAATAATAAGCCTACTTTATGATAATAAACATATCTATGCAGAATTTAATTATAAAAAAACGTAAGAGTATTATAGAAGATGATGTAAATATATTATTTCATAGTATAATATAATAGTATTCGATATTATTATGCTCTTTATGGATAACATCATAACGAATACTTTTAAGTCAAAATTTTTGATTTTCCAGTCGCAATAATGACTACATGAATATTTATTGGATTCATGCTACAAAAATTTGAAAAAATACAGCTTATCGAACACTTTCTGTAATTCATTAAAACAATTTTATATTTTATTTAAAATACGTGTTACCTCTTAATAAGCGCAATCTGCCAATGTTTGAACAAATATCAATAAATTAATTTTAATAAACTATATATTAACAATTATTATTTATGATCTGTTGCTATTTTTCGAGTATCTTCATAATTGCGTAGGTGGAGAACTTTTCTGGTTGTGTACCAACACCATCTAGTGATGAAAAACTAGTTCTTCAATATATTTACGGTCAAATTTCGTCGCATAGTATGCATACCATTTATGTTGTCATAAAGCCTACATAGTGTGTGTTCTATTCAACCTTATTTGGTTTAATAATTTTAATAAACTATATAACATAGTATAGTTAAAGCTTAGTGTGGGGCAGGGATAAGCTCAAACCACAACAACAACAACATAACATCATTTGTTGGTACTTAGGACCACAGCGAGTATAATTGAGATGGTATGTATTTTGAAACTATGACATACAAACTATTGTGCAATGAAATATTTCTGCAGATCTGGACTTATGGTATTAAAGTTTGTCGAGTGTTCGGGTTTTCTAAAATAATGGTTTTACTCATCCGACTCAAATGCCAAAAGCTTATCGACTTCAATTTTAAATTTCTTGTAGATCATTTTTCTATAAGCCATAAAACAAAACAAATACATTTACTTAAATGCAGAAACGCAAAAAACATTTTATCAATAATACAAAGTTATGTTTGTAGAGATATTACCAATTGTTCAATTAACCCATTCGAGACTGGTTAATTCAAACTATTATATTTAAACAAGTGTTTTCCTTCAAGAGTTGCAGTTTGTCAATATTCTACACATTTTATAAGTTACTAAACGCTTAAATATTTAAGATATTGTATTTTCTACTACTTAATAAGACTTAACTATGTTGATAACTTCACCAAAATAATAATAATTCGATCAATTTAATATAACATAAATACAAATATTTGCTCTGCAAAATTTTTTTGTTTTGGATTGATTTTAAAAAATATTGGATTAAATTTATAAAAATATATATCATGCCATGAAATATAATAAAAACTATGTATACATTATACATTTCGATTTGTAACGTATTTTCTTTTTTAATACATTTGTATTTTTAGTAAATTACCAGTTAATTTACATATATTTACATATATATAAGCTCAGTTTTAATTATTTATATTATAAAGGAATGCTTGAATATTCGATTTTGATTATTTCGAAACATAGATGTTGTTCAATATTTCATTTGTTTATCTTAAATGTAAGCCAAGGACTATTTTGTGTTAATACTAAGAAACGGACAGACTAAGTGATAGACGGATATTGATTTGTCCTATTTTGTCATTTAAAACAACATTTGGCCAACATTAATATATATTTTTCAATGTACACTATGTTTGCAAATTTTAAATGAAAAATAAGAAATTTTGTATGCAGTCTTTATTTATATAATTTTTTATTATTATATGCAATAAATGAAAATTGAAGAATTGTGTCAAACAATAATATCAGCACCACGACCACAAATCAAAAACCCTCTTCAATAATAAGTTTTATTGATTAACTTTTTCACTATGGTTGACAAAAACAGGATGACAAAAAGAATAAGGCCTTTCTTCTCTATATTCTCGCTTTACAACCGAATATAGTTAAAAAAGAATATTCTCATTCATCATAAAGAAAACAAATTTATTTTTGTGGATGCATTGCTTATATCAATAATTCATAAGTGAATTTTAAGTTAATACTTTCCATATAGTTCCATAATCATACCTAAAAAAAACAATCGTTGACTTACGTAAAAGAGTACTTTAGGTCATCCATTATAAAACTTTAATTTATTTCAGTAAACGAAAATGTAAAATATTGGTACCTATTTTATGTTAATTACATTGATGATTTTTTAACTAATGTACTTTTACTCCTAGTACTTAACACAGTATACATATCTTCTACAAGCATTGACTATTCTCCATTCTCCAATATATTTTATATTATAGTACATCAGATCATATTCATTTTGTCTCTATTTTACTAAGATTCTAATTTGTAAGATCTACATAATACTGTTAATAATGCACTATAGTACAATTTTTTTAAACGAAATATTTCCGTTTATAGAATTAAAAAATATTTTTTGAATGACTAAAAATTACTATAATTTAAACTTTAACGTTTATATATTTACAGTTTACATTTGTTA